TTAAGTACAAATCTGCAAATATGTATTAATGAAAGTTAATTGAAGCGTTTTGTTTAACTTCTGTCTGTAAAGGTACAGGTTGTTCGCAGTCACTCAGTATTTACTGATTACAGAATAAGTTTGAACAGTTGAGAACAGCCAACTACACGAGCATCAGGAAATGACTGCAAGATAGAATTGCCTAAGTGTAAAAATGCACATACCTTACTTTTAGCAGCCTGTAAAGACAGAGAGAAAAATAGTGTGACTAAGCAACCCAAAAAGTTTGTACGAGCTAAATCTTACCTCTCTCTAGGAAACTACTTTGAGATATGCAACAATAATAGTAATTCTGACCCTTTCGTGACTTTATATACTTTAGATGGGAAAACAGCAACTGAATACTACATAATCTTTGATGTTACTCATAGGTATGATGTACATAATTTAAAATAGTTAACCTGAAGTATAATTTGCCATAATATGCAAATCTTCTAATGACATGGTTGGAAGCCCAAGTAGATCTGTTCCAAAGAAGTGTGCAACAAGAGTAAAATGGGAACTAAAACACACTTTTCTTAGTGATATTCTAGCAAATCCGGTTGTGTCAGCATTTTGAACATAAATCTGCTTTATTGCTACAGTTCAGAATTGTCATCAGAACTATCATGCAAGGTCTCTCAAAAAACCCACTACCACCACCAGTGCCACTAATTGATGCTCTTGTTGGCATCTCTATAGAGGCTGATTAGCTCCACATGATTAACTGTGTGGGAAAACGAACACTCACCATAGAGTTGATTCCTTTGGGTTTATTTTGTGTGTCATTGATGGAGTTAGGAAGCTTGCGTGGTGATTACCAGCTATTTGCAGAGAACTTCTAATATCAATTATTTCACGATCATTAAAATTTGCTTTAAAAATGTGCAGGAAAAATGTTTCCCCTTTTGTACTTTGCGAGATTAAAAATAAAAGCTATAAACATAAAAACATTTTAAAAATGGCCTAGGGCTTGCTGATCATAAGCAGGCCAAATATCTGCTCATACTGTGTAGAGAAATCTTGGGGGCAAAATAAACTATGAAATGGCTTCGTTTAGAAATGCAGATTATTGCCCAGAGGCACCCGCTTCCCCCTCCACGTTGTGTCTTCCAAACAGATATTTCATAAGCACATTGCATGTGTTTAGGAACAGTTCCAGAGGAGTCACTAACTATCTGTTTTATGAGGAAGGAATTACACAAACTTCAGCGGTTCTTTTGGATCTGGTGCAATTCTCGATTTATTTATTTATGTATTTATTTATTTAAATTAAGAAAATTCATTTTTAATGACGTGACAAAATATGGATTTGGGCCAAAATACAACAAATGAGTTAATGTGAATATGAAAATAGAGCTAGAATCTGGTAGGAGATGCTTTGGAAAGTAATTCAATACATTTTGCTTCTTTAGTTTAGGTATTTACATGAACCCAATTAAAGATGTACTGGAGAGATTAGAGCAGTCTTCTGTATGTTATCACCATCAATGGAACTATGCTTAGATAAAACTGAAGTTTTTACACAGAACAACATAAGCCAGAATTTCCAAGTTGAGGTTCACTGTGTGTAACTCAGTAATGACACCTCTCAGCTTGCCATGCAACCATGCAAAGATAAGAGTCCATGACAGTGCTAACTTGTGTGTCATCTCTGGGAAGGGTGGAGAAGGAAGTACAAATCATTACCTTCCAGATGAACCTAGTGTAGCAGTTGTTGTAAAACATCTGTTGATTTCCTTAGAAATATGAAGTATTCTCAAATATATTGTCTGCTGAGAGTCTCAAAGCATTATACAAATATTAAAACCTTGCAATGACCCTGGTAGAAAGGTGAATATACCTATTTTGCAGATGAGTAAACTGAAGAACAGAAATTCTGTGACTTGCCCAAAGTCTTGCAAATAGAGCAGAGCTGTGAATGTAGAATACAAAAATCGTCAGTCCAACTTGTCCTTGCTGCTGGACCACACTTCAGTGCTTGGAAATATTAATTTTTAAGCAAAGTGACATCAAGAACTAGCTACATACGAATGTAAAGTGCATCTTCTATCAGTTTTCCAAAGAACGGTTTTGGGAGTAATGCTTTATATTTCTTTTTGTTAGTAACACCAAAGGATGTTTAACTTAGTGGAGATAACTTTACTTTTTCTTGTTGCAGCATTTGTCAGCTGTGGAACTTCCCAAAATTGAGGGTATGTCTTCCGTGTTCCTATCTTGCAACTGTCCTAGCATAGATTAAATGTCATCTCTTCTTCATTGTAAATTTTATTTACAGTTACAAATCCTTGAAACCCCCCCCCCCATTGATGGTTTGGACGGTTGGCAGAGGGAACCCTAGAATTTCTACATAAAATGTATGCAAAACATGTGTGTGCACTACAGTAACATAGTCATTGTGTGTGTGTGACGGGATCCCCAGGGTGCAGCCTGGGACCATGTGCCCCCTGAACTCTCTCCAGCCTGGGTTGTCTCTCACAGTGCCTTGCTACTGACCTGCAGCAAACCCCTCCAAGTGCTATTATTGCTCAGCACAACTGCATGTGAAGCCCTACACCCAGCTATATTACATGAATGTTCCTGGAGCCACTCATGAATCACACAGAGAAAGGCACCAATGCCAAATCCCCCCAGCACTATATCTCAGGAATATACCGTCTTGCACTGCTCAAGGTGGGCAATGCAGATTTATTAATTGGTTCACCACTTCATCAATGGAAAGTGGATATACACCAGCCTTTGCAAACCTGAGCACATTTGCCACACAATTCAGGCAAACTCACTGGTAAAGATCAACAGTAAAAGAAGTTTATTGACTACAAAAGATAGATTTTTTTTTAAGTGATATTAAGCAATATGTCAAGTCAGTTAGTTACCAAAAGAAAATGAAATATAACCACGCAGTCTAAACTCTCAACCCTATTAAACTGGGCAACATCTAGATTAAGTAGTTTTTCTGACCCTACTGGATATTGCA